CATCATCCTTCTATATTAATTCCACATCACCGTTGGGCAGAAATGGAATTAACGTATATAAATTCAATAATCTTGAAAACATAGAATTGCTCCTTAAAATTAAATTCTCCCGTTGGTTCGAATTTAATTAGAAGACAATCAACTTCATTACAGCGGAAACATGAAAATACATTTCTCTAGTTTAAGAGCATTCCTTGATCTTTATATTTTCTCTGAAAAATTGGTCACTTTGATGCAAAATTCATCAGAGATTTAAACTTTAAACCCAAAATTCATAGAATTATAATATTGTTATCATTAACGTTGGTCAGAAAATAACAATACCATAATTTCGCTTTAAACTTAAACTCATAAATAAACTTATAATATTGTTATCATTAACGTTGGTCAGAAAATAACAATGTTATAATTTATCTTAACTATCAACCGACTATTCCTCCAATTAAAATTTTTCTAGCTGGTTTCAATTTTAACTGGAGGATAAACTTTTCATCATTTACTGAATAACTATAACTGCTCTTCAAATTAGAAGACAATAAACCTTTAACTTTGCAGCGGAAACTTGACAAAATTTCTTTATATACTTTTCAGAAGCATTTTACTGTACTTTTTTACTCTCTGAAAATTCTAACACGTTGGTGCAATAATTATCAGAGATTTTAAATCATTCTTTGAATGAAATCAACAAAATTTGCTTCTGAAAAATAATAAAACAATTTTTAATCATCTTTGTGCATTTCTGCTGGGTCAAAGATCAGATAGTCCGGAGCCCACTCCAAGAAGAAGCCGCGTGCCCAGTTGCCTGCACGGCCCATGCTCAAAGAAATACATGCCTGCATAGCAGCTTGTACCTCGCACGTGCAAGCGGTGACAGACCCACCACCACCACGTGCGGCCTTTCCTCCCAGCGCCTTAGGCGCAACACAGGCTGGGCTCGGGGAAAGCTCAATCCCGCCTGGGCCGCTGAGTGGCCCGGCCATTCCACGCCATCGGATCTTGATCGGACGGTCGTCCTTGCATTTCGCGCGAACAAAACCGGCACCAGTGGCCTCACCGTGAAACCCTAACCTCATTTCCACCCTCCCCTTCTCTCTCATCATCAGCAGGCTCGGAGGCAATAGTAAGCGGCAGCCACCAGCGGCGAGTGGGCGAAACAATGGAGCATGAATGAGCCCTTAAGTTCGTCGTTGCCGCCCCCTCGCCGGCGTCGCGCGTTCCCAATGGTGAGCGCGCGCCATTGCGAGCGGCAGCAGCTGGCGCCCCTGTGGCCGGATCTCGTGCGACGGTGCCCGGCCGGCCCTTTTTCCCCCCCGTTGCGGCGGCATTGGCGTACGACAACGAGGTAAGCTCTCTGGGTTTCCCTCTTCCCCTTTTCCCCTTCTGTATTTCTCTTTTCTACTCGGATCTGATCCGATTTGGGGACGGGGATTGGAATTAGGGTTAGGGTTCGAATACTTTTCGAAATCGAAAACTCCTTCTTTCCCCGTTTCTTCACCCGATTAGGGTTTAGGATTCGATGAACCTTTGTGTTTTTTTTTCTTTCGATCCGAATTGGATCTAGCTCCGTTCTTTTCTTTCTTTGTTATCTTGATTCTTCTTCCCGCGTCGGCCTAAGCCGACGATGGGTACTCCATCCCGTGTGAGGCGGTGGTGACGGCGGCGGGGAAGCCCTGGTAAGATTTCCCCCCGGACCGTCCAATTTCTTTAGGGTTAGGGTTCTTTAGGGTAATCTGAATCGAATTCGAATCCCCTTCTTTCTTTTTCTTTCTATCGCCCGATTAGGGTTTAGAGTTCGATGAACCCTCCGTAATTCTTTTCTTTCGATCCAACCGGATCTAACCTATCTTTTCTTTTCTAATCGCAGGCTCGTCCTCGACAAGATCCACGCCTAGGTAAACCCTTTGGCGATACCATTGTTATATTCTTTGGATCATCTAGTAGTGGATCCCGTGGGTGAGATTCTTTTCTATTTGGGATAACTAGTGATTTAGAGATTCGAGGGAGTAGGAGGCAGAGAGAGAGAAAGAGAAATGTAGGAACATCGCCGCCGTCGGAGGGTTGGACCTGGGATGCAGCAAGGCCACCGGCCGGTGATGATCTGCGCCAATGGTGACGGTCGGAAGAGAGAGCGGCGATGAAGACCGTGGTGGCGCAACGCGCTGCGCTGGCGGCCATCCAGCTTCCCGCCGTCGGCGCTGCGCCCCTATTAGATCGGAGTAGGGTTTCTAGGTGGGGCGACGGCTCGACGAACCTCGCACGAGAGCCGTCGACCCCACCTCTATTTAATTGTGATGTGTGAGGCCCGCCACCATAGATGAGATGGGGCGCCCCGATCCCGAGGTCAATTGCGCGGTCGTTGGGTGTGTGGTTGGGAGATCAAACCAACACACGAACATGGAGTGCAGCTGCCCCGACGTGGCCAACTTCCGCGCGGTGGACTTCCGGAGGCCCAACCGCGGCTGCGTCCCGACGGCGCCGGGGATGAGCCATGGCGCAGCTCACGTCCGGCCGCAACGGCGACAGCGCCGAATGCAGGTACGTGGTGTGGTTCCCCATCTAGGACATGGGCAACTGGATGCTCAGCATGTTCTCCACCTTCCTCTACGCGCTGCTCACCGGCCGCGTCCTCCTCGTCTATGAACCCCCCGAGATGGAGGGGCTCTTCTGCGAGCCGTTCCCGGGGACCTCGTGGATCCTACCGCCGGACTTCCCGGGGACCCCGTGGACCTCGGCTCAAGTGACAGCTACCTGCACATGCTTGAGAACAACGTCGTCCGCTACGACGATAGCGGCGGCACCAGAATCACACGTTCTGCGAGGAGGACCACCACGTGCTCGATAGGTTCAACTGGATGGTGCTCCGGTCAGACAGCTAGTTTGCTCCGGTCAGACGGCGACATGAGGCGACCTCCCCATCACGCGACGGCAGACGCTCGAATTGTCCCATCGTTCGTGCGGACGTAACGTCCACGGGCGATGGCCTGATCGCTGATGGGGGCCTCACTGCTCTGAATGGCTGCACTGGATCGCACCAAGCGGGCGCAACGCACGGCGGCTACACGCACCGGATGGGAGCTCCCGGCCGCCTCGCGAACGCCGGTGGGCCGTCCTTGGCGAGTTGCCGCATGAGGTCGTCCAGGTCAGGGCCGGGGTCCTCGTCGTCCATGAACTCGAACCGGACGCGGCCCCGGCCCACCGGCACGCCGTCGCCGCCGGCCGACATGCCTGCGGACGTGGCCAGCTTCGCGCCCACGCTGGAGAGCGAGAAGGTCACCAGGAGGCCCTTGGGCGTGGCCGTGGCCGGCTTCCTCTTCCCTGGCACGGTGGCCGTGGCCGTGGCCGCTTCCTCTCCCATGGATCGGACTCGGATCTCTGCCACGTCTTCGTGGCCAATCTCACCCAGGAGGAGGCTCGCCGGTGGCGAGGTCCGGCCGTGAGTGGCGCATGGCCAGCGCGAGCACCAGTGAGTACGACTGCGTGGAGTGGCTGGACGCGCAGGCGCCGCGCTCCGTGGTGTACGCGTCGGTGGGCAGCGTGGTGCTGCTCAACGCGGAGGAGGTGGGCGAGATGGCGCATGGGCTCGCCTCCACGGGAATGAACTTTGCTAAGCTGGAGGAAGGAGAGGGAGGGAATGAGTGGGTGACGCGCGGGCCCCACATGTCAAAACCGCTCAACGATAGGTTAAAACAGCCTTGTCCTCGTCCAGATGTTAAAAGTGAACGGTTTGACAGTTGGGCTACTGGTACTAGACGGTTTTGTAGTTGAGGGTTAAAATTAGACCAACACAATAGTTGAGGGGCCAAAAGTGGACTTAATACTGGTTGAAATGAAGAACGGCTTGCAGTTTCTGTTTTTTCAAAAAAAAACTTGCATTCTCTCTCTGGCTCGTTCGCTGGTCTAAACTTTGGCTGAAACTGGCTGAAAAACACTGTTCCGGCTGATTTGTTGTGAGAGAAAAATATTATTCCGGCTGAAAAAACAAGCCGAACAAGTTAAATTGAAGACAAGTGAACGGGGCCTCTATATCTGTCTCTTTTAAGAAAAACTTGCATTTCCCTAAAAAAAAATTACTTATACTGGGCCGTATGTGGGCCTCGTCTGGTCCTTCCGAGATCTGAGCTGACTGACATTCAATCTACGCTGGTCCATGGAGAAGCACACAGCTGCGCGCTCCGCCTGGAATCCTCGATGGTGCGAGAAGGCAGGAAGCCGTATACGCAGGCAGGAGGGATGTGTTCTGTGTGAGCCTGTGCCCTGTGGCTCAGCTGGAAGGGGCCTCTGATCCATGACTGACTTCACGCTTTTTCCTCGGTAGTCGGTACTCCTGTTGATCGCATAAGCTTGCATTTGCTTGACTTGTGTGTTCGCAGTTGACGAGTTGGGGCTTTGTGGTCTAATCTAGTGCTGTTTCAGACTTCAACCTCCGGCTTTGCAGTTTTCAGGTTTGATGGCGTGGCGTCGAACTGTTCGTACCAAACGCCAAGGTGGTACCTGCTTAATTATTCTTCCTTCGTTCTGCTGATGTCGTACTTGCTTGCTCAGTTGATCCTGCGTTGCCTTGTCATTAATTGGCCTAATTTTTCAGAATTTGCTGTGTTTCATGGAGAAGATCTGGGCGAACTTTGTCAAAGGATTATTTGGCACACGATGTCACCATGTTAGTGCACTTTTACCTCCTCCTCTGGTGTATTCACTTGTGTTTCTTATGGCCAATTTAACAGAGAAGTGATCTGATTCACAATGCTTTGCCATTTTCTGTTTTGTACTGTTTTGCATTGAGGGGAGAAATACAAACACAGAGTGGTTCATTTGTTGTTTTACTACTTTATTAAAAGGTTGCAAGTTTAACACCGTACGTGTTTTAGAGAAAAGAAGAGGAAATTGCTTGACAACGACAGGGATCGGACAATACACACGCGAGAGGAACTACGAAGAAGAAGAAGACAGCGACCTAGCTAGCGGCAACGACACGGACGGCGGTGCAGTGCATGCCGGCTGGTCTAGGCGCCGGGCGCGGCGTCCTTGGAGCGGTTGTGCAGGTACCCACCGTACTCGCGCGCGTAGTCCTTGACGTGGCTGGCCGTGTCGACGATTTGGCTGCGCGCGTAGTCCACCCGGTCGGCGCCCACGGGGTGTCGCCCCGTGAAGTAGCGGTACATCCAAGTGCCCACGGCGAGCGCGGCGACGAGGAAGCCGCAGGCGGAGAGCGCGGCGGCGGTGAGGACGAAGAGCGCGAAGGCGATGGGCACCCAGATGGGGCTGGTGAGCAGCGCGATGGGGCCCAGGAAGACGAGCGCCACGACGGCGCCCGTCAGCGTGAGCCCCGTGAGGAGCAGCAGCACGGCGCCGGAGACGAGCAGCGTCAGGAAGCCCACCACCTGCGTCGAGTTGGGCGCGTGGGTCTGCACCCGCCGCAGCAGCGTCGCCGACGACGGCGGGTCCGCCGCCGGGTGCTCGCCGCCGCCGTGCCCGTGCCCGTGCGCGTGCTGCTGCTGCTGCTGCCGATCTCCCATGCTCTCCCGCTCGCTCGCTGTCGCTCGCGCCCGCGTGGCCGGCTTTGAGGGAGTCCGGTCGGCGGTGTCGATCGGGTGTCTGTCTTGTGGCAGGTGGGAAACGGCGGGGAGGAGTTAAAGGCGCGGAGAGGGACGTGCCCGCGCCGGCACGTGTCCGGGCGCCGCGCGTGCATGCGCGACGTGTGTGGCGGGCGAGCCGACCAACGGACGTTCTGCCTCGCTCGCGCTGCAGCTCCTGACGGCCATGCATTTCTTCTCCCCGTGCTCCTCGGATCACGGACTGCTTGTTCCGGGCCTTCGAGCCATCTACTAGTAGTATCTAGTATGCACTATGCTCACTGGCACGTGTGCAAAGGCATCGAGTCACGACATGGCGAGTTGGCGACGGCGCAGGTGGCTGGCACGCGTCACGGTCGCCATGTGGGCGGGGCGGGGCAGGATTTTTGTCGTGTACGGCGTGTGAGAGAAACGGAGATGTCCATCATTTGGCAAGCGAACAGGCTGCTGGTTTTGAGAGACGCGCACTGGTGAGCTGGAGCACACGGCGGTGTTCACCGCGACGGGGCCGGCGTGGCACTCCAGCGGTGATTGCACGGCGGCAAGTTTCGTGGCCGGCCCTGAAGACGGCGCGCTGCGGGAACCTTTCGAGTTTCGGTGGGCTGGATCCTGGTTAGACTTCGTGGGCTTGATGATAAATTCTTTCTCGAGATGGGCCCAAACAATAAGCACACAGTTTAACACGTGGTGGCCTAGATAGACCCAAGTAATCAAGGATTCACGGCGACCTCGTCTCCCGTTTGGAATCCCGGCAAGCGGGCACGGCGGAACCGGAACCCATGCGACGGCGACACTGCCACCGCTCTCGGAGGCGCTGAAGCCAGCCGAGAGACGGTCCCCGGCGACTAGTAGGTAGCCAGCTTACCGCAGCCAGCCACTGGCAATGTTCGGTTCCACTTCCACGTTCAGGTGGAGCTCGCCGCCTCAACCTCGACCTTCTCGGTTCAGGTGGATTTTTGTCTTATATATGATTTTTAAAGTCAGATCTGCTGTTCTAGCACTGTATGTGCGTGGTTGGTAACTAATAGCGGGTCAATTTCTTCAAAATATCGAATGAATATCGAATGCAGTGAGGCAGCAAGTTTTTCTTTTTTTGGGAACAAAGACATCAGCAGCGTGCAGCTGTGGGCCCACGATAGCTGGAGGTCGCGGCGGTGCCGTGCGAGGAACGCAAGCATCGGCGGCACCCCCGTTCAGAAATTCTCGATCCCTGCTTTCAAGGTCTGGTGGAGTACCATCAAATCCTCCGATCTCCTATGTCGCCGTGAAGGTACTGGTGGAGCCCCTTTCTCTACTTCAATTTTTGTCCACTCGCTGTAGCTGCTTGCGTTTTTGTTGATTCAGAACTACTACATGCCTTTACCTGCCCACTTTGCTGCTTCACAGCTAGGATAGATTTGTTCATCCTGTGGCCTCTCTCATGTACACAAGTGGCAAGATACTTGCTTTCACAGATCAAATGAAATAAAATATACTCCTAGATCCAAAGTTACAAAGGAGTACATAGGTACGTTTATTTGATGAACAAAGCTGGAATGCTCATAACATATATTCTAACAATAAAGCAAATAGTTCTTTCAGAAAAAAAATTGTCATAAAGCTGGAATGCTCGTAACACTTATTGTAAGCAATAAAGCAAAGACTTATTTTAAAAAGAATTGCGACAAAGCTGGAATGCTGGTAACAATTATTCTAACAATCATATATTTTACTTCCGAAATATTGTAGTGCCTTTTGGTGCTCTGCACGCTGCATATCAGTCATTCCACTGAGGTCAGCCATTAGAGGTTGGTGTACATCTGGGCCATTGATGTCCTCTCCCGTGATTGTGCTGCTTCTAGCTTCTCTTTAGAAAGCCGGAGATGCACGTCGGTCGTCTTCTCTGCGGTTGAAGCTCGTATGGCCTGCGTTTCATAATACATTTGAAGATCATCGTGTGACAAATAAGAATCAGGCATGGCTGCTTTTGCTTTTGCAGACTTTGTCCCCAACGGATGAGTTTCTCCTGCAATTTCCAAATCAATCATATCTTTCTTCTTTTTCTTACCCTTGTAATAGTTTCTGGTCCACTTTGGTTGCTCTCGCACCTCTTTCCACCAATACTCAAGCGTGAAACACTGGTTTGTTTCCTGTTTGTACAGGGCATGGGCCTTCTCCTTGATCCTGGTCATCTGATTGGCCACTCTCATGTGCATCTCTGAGCCTACACCAAATTCCATTAAATAAAGCAACCTTCTTATTTGATTTACCCCAATGGTCTTTGCAGTGCTTGTTGCCTTCTTCTGTTGGGGGGAATGTTGCGGCTGAACTCCTCAGTACACATCACCCTTCTTGCAGTTGCCCTCTAGAGGATCGACTGAGTTGTTGATCCAAGCACTAACCTACAACCAAATGGCAACTATAATATAAGAGAAAATATTTATTAAATAATAGGAATACACAATAACTAAAAAAGGAACACATACCAATCTGATGTCGTCTGCTTCTGTCCAGGACAAGCGCCAGCTTCTATTTTCCTCTTTTTCATTGTTTTGTTCATCGTTGTCCTCCTCCTCCTCATCTCCATGCCCATCAGCGACTACTTGCGAACCTTCAGATGAAGAAGTTGGTGGCATGGGACAATGCGGATTGAAATCAGAAGGCTCAAAAAATTCTGTGCATACTGTTGAGCTGGGGACACATGAGGATATGAATAAGGATATTGTGGATATGGGCAATGCTCTGGGATTTCGGATGGGTGATTGGCTGAGTAGTTGAACCAATTCATGAAGCCACCGGCAGTTGTATGATCCATTTGTGAGTGCTAGTGTGATTTGCCTATAGGCTAAACGATGTATATATAGAGCAGAGGAGTAGAGGAGAAGCAAACGCTATCCAGTATATCCAACTGAATTAACTACCGGCTGTTGAGGTAGTTTGGAGAGTTATCTCGAGCGCCCGGCTCCTGGGGATCGCGCAAGAGTCGGTCCTGGCGCCGCTGCCTCACGAAGCGGCGCATCCGTCCGCGAGCGCCCCAGAAAGGCCACGCTGGAGTCCACCGTGGAGGGAAAATGGAATAACAGCCCAAAACGGCCCATAGGTGCCCGGCATTGTACGTGGCCTAATGTGATTCATTTTCTGGAACTGCCTATTTACAGTTACAACCTTTAAAATGAAAAAGGTATGGGTATAACATATACAACTTGCTGATAACTTAAGCCACACAACTATGCAAAACTGTATACGTATGCACAGCCTGATAACTTGTACATTCTCTTAGCATATACAACTTGCTTAACACAACACCAGAATTTAAACTTCTCTTTTGTACACTTAAGCTACACAACCAAAAATCAGTCTCCAGCAAGTAAGACCAGATGTGTGTTGAATCCTGTGTTCAACTTATGCTTCAGCCTTCAGATATCTGTGGAGCAGATGTCTGTGTGGTCATTTTGCTTCTTAGTTCTTCAAAAGCTTTCATGCTTTCTGCATCAAAGCCCCCAGCAAACTGCAGAAAGTAGAGGAAAAAAATACTGATTTGAAGTCTTTAGTTCACCTTTGAAGTACCTAGGTTTTTAATATATAGATGTGAGGATTTTACCTGATGAACCCGGAAAGCAAACCTCACACCCTGGAGAAGCAAAAACTCTCTATTGGGCTCTTTCTCAGTGCCTTCCAATGCATCAAGTTCTGAGCCAACCCTCTTCATATACCTGTTCGCAAGCTGAACAGATGCCAATTTGATCTATTCCAACATGCAAATAAAATATTGAGTTCATGTAGGTGCATGCTTTGAGTAAAAACATACTCAACTCTGTAAGGAATTAAAAATGCATGTTTTCTTTAACGCAAGGTTGGCAAAATTGGAGTGTATGCTAGAGATGCACACCTTGCCAACTACTCCAGAATCAGACAGTCAGTCAAATGGGATCCCATACTCCTTGTAGCGTGAGACGGCCATGTCTCTTGTACGGAGTAGTGCATAGACACTCTGCTCCACTCTGGCATAAGTATTGACGCTAGTTAGTACCATCACTTTGGGTAAAATTATATTCATCACATACATATCTTAAACCAGGCAAAAATATTGGCGTTTCAATCTGAAGGACTATGTTAGAGAGAATACTAGGTCTGATGAGACACTTACTTTTCAAGCAAAGAATACATCTTCTTGAGAGCTTCTTCACATGCAAGTTGTGGATCATCGGTAAAGGATGAAACCTTGCTCTGTAACTTTATCAGATCCTGGTACTCAAAAGTGGCTTCTCTTGTTGCATCTGTTTTGCTCTCTGGCCAATCAAAATGCTTTAGCACTGCTCGCTCATCAACCTAAAATGTTGTTGATCCACTTTAGCATTAGAACATGTATCATAAGTACAATAATAACTGGTACTTTGTAACAAAGGTGTTGTATGAAGGGCATGTTCGGGCTGCTTACCAAGAAAGATAACTCCTCATCCAACCAATTTACAAATGCAACAACATCATCAATATTTACAAAGCTTGCTGCTCGGACCTCATTTGCTAGAGACTCAACAAATTCTCCTTGTGTCTCCACATCAGCTTTTACCTGAAGCATTCCATGTTTTTATAAAACATTTGTCTCTTTTCATTATTATAAAATTTGATTAATAGTTATAACTATGCATTAATAGTAGAACTCATAAATTTGGCTGGATTCTTGTGCAAGGTGGTGCCAGCAGAAAATACTTACAGCTAAGAGAAATGTTGATCTGTTCTCAATCTCTCCAATCATGTTACTCTTGGCATCAGAAACATTGGATGACATTGATCCTAAAGATGTCTCTCTTTTTGCTTCACGCTTCATGAGACTTTGATAGAACTCCACAATCTCCGGTGCACGGTGTACCTTGTCACCCCCACCAAGGTTCCTTGGTAGAGCACCTGGAGGTGGTGGTGGTGGTGGTGGGCCACCAGCTTTCCCTGGAGGTGGTGGAGGAGGAGGAGGTGCACCTGGTGCACGTGGCGTTTGTGCTCCACTTGCAGTATTGGTAGCCCCTGAAGCAGTGGTTGATCGAGGGGGAGGTGGTCTGGGAACTCTTGTTGCTCTCTTCTCAATGTTGGCAAGCTTCATCTGGCTCACCACCAGGGTGTTGTTTTGGTTGTCACTGGATTGCTCGCTGGATTCAGCATTAGCTGCAGGGGATCTCTCCTTAATTTGAGCAAGTTTCGGAGGGAGTGCACCTTTAGGAGAGGAAATAAGAGCTGAACTGTGTCCACCGCCAAACCTTTGTGCTCTTGCTTGCCCAGCCTTCTCTTTTATCACCTTCTCCCGTTCAGTTGCAAGTTTGTGCCTATCTTTGTAAGCGGGATACTTCTCATCGGCAAAACCTTCGACTGTCTTGGACATCAATTGGAATGAGGATGCGACATTTTCATCGTCCAAGACATCATTGGGATCCCTCTTTCCATATGTTGTTATGGCTGTACCATCTCCAGCATTTTTTAGCATGAGAGCTTCCAGGGGGCCCTTTGGTTTCCTCTTTGGAGAACCATTGATTGGGGAGGCTAAACTACTGCTGTCATCCTTGCTCCTTCCCCACTTTTTGATTTTTTGCACCAGATTAGACCTTTTGCTTAGGAAGCTGTATCTGCTGGAAGAACTGTCAATTGAAATGTTGTCAAAGTCTTCGCTTCCAGGTGATGAAGGCATTGAAGAAACACTCTCATGGTCTGTGTCACCGTGACTCCGTTCAGATCCTGCGTACTCCAACATTAGTTGTTTGGCCCTCTCCTGTGATTTGGGGCTCAGTGTCCTGTTAAGATCACGTGCAGAGACCTTCCCTGATGGAGTCTGATAGTTGCGGAGTTCGAATCTCAGACAGGCGTTGACCCAGCGCAGGTATACCAACTCCTCTACTTCACTGAATCTGTTCATCTGTAGGCCTTCCACTTGCTTTGTGAGGTCCTCATTTGTATGCCTCAGCTTGTTTATCTCTTCTCTTGCATTGGCAACTACATCACTCTACATGACAAATGATAGGGTATGCCATTAGCACATGTTCCTGCTTCCCAAAGTATATCAAAACTATATGAATACTTTGCAGAAATCACTAGGTGCATTCTTGCCTCTTAGAGAACCTTAAATTCTGATGTAGTTGTTAAATGCAATGCTACCTCTTAAATCATGCTTTAGTAAGTACTTTAGGTAACTGTATTTTCATTGTACTGGTCTGAAAATATGTTAATACTAGGCTGTGTAATATCCTGCATAATGATAACCATGCATAAGAGGAAGTTACAATTTTGCCGTCATCTTCATGAGATTTGTCTTCTGTTTATGAGAAAGGCAACTTGTAGAGACTAATAGTACTAAGATACCTCAGTTATTTTCCCTTCAGCTGCATCCAACTTCACAATGAGATCTCTCTTCTCGTACAACAACTCCTTGTTCTTCCTCCTTAGCTCAAGTACCTCCACTTCCAACTCCTTGAGCTTCTTCAGCTTCCGCTCAACCTCGGCTTCCTTTTTTGCCGCCTCTTCCTCCTTGGCCTTCAATCCGATGACCTGCTGTTTCAGCAGCATCAGCTGACCTTTTGTCTGGCCTGCTTCCAGCTGTATCTGCCGCTGCAGCTCCTTGATCTTGCTCCTAGCCACTTCGAGCTCTTTCTTGGCAACTTCTCCACGTGCAACGTTATCTTGCAGCTTCTGCCGCTCCTCCTGCAGTGAGTTTATGGTGTCGTTGAGCATGTTGATCTCCACTGTCTTGATCTTGAGCTGCTTTTGCAGCTCAGTGACATCAGTCTCCATTTCCTTCATTCCATAGTACTCCAGCAGCTCGCCCTCAAGCTTTGCCTCCCTCTCTTCCAACTCCCTCACCAGGCTGCGCAGTCTCTCTATCTCAGAGGCCTCGTTAGCCATGTAAGCAAGCTCGCCCTCAAGCTTCGCCTCCCTCTCTTCCATCTCCCTCACCAGGCTGCGCAGTCTCTCTATCTCAGAGGCTTCGTTAGCCATGTAAGCAAGCTCGCCCTCAAGCTTCGCCTCCCTCTCTTCCATCTCCCTCACCAGGCTGCAGTCTCTCTATCTCAGAGGCCTCGTTAGCCATGTAAGCATTGTACCATGACCGTCCATTGACATCAAACCGATCACGTGGTATAGGGATGTCAATGTCTCCTGACAGGAGGCTCTCAATCTCGGAAAGCATATCGTCATCGTCATCGTCTAGCGAATGGGCTGAGTTAATTATGCCACTGATTGTTTTAACCTCCTCCTCCTCTTCTTTCTCCCCCTGTAACAGCAGTTGGAGAGATCAGTATGACATAGGCCACTAATACATCACAATTTTCTTTGAGCAAACTTTAACTGATATAAGATGTACATACATGTTCAGAATTGCGAGCATTATCCTCCCTTTTCCTTGTTTGGCCATTGTCTGAAAGCAGGGATGCTTGAATGAAGAACTCAAATGAACACAAGAAACATATAGAAGAGAGTGCAGAACAAGATTGGTACCTTTGTTGTGCCTGCCCCCACTGTTACCTCTCTGCAGAGTTAAAGCTGCGACAGAGGCTACAACGACAAAGCCTAATTTCACAAGCATGGCTCCGTTCACTCATTACTGTGGCGGCCTCAACCGGCAGGAGGGGTGGGACGGGCAGCCTCTACTCATCAAAAAATGGTGAAGTGGAGTTAGAGCAGGTATGAATGGCCTAGCAGGCTAAACTCTGTTCATATCTTTAGCCCAGAGATGGAGATGGATTGTGATGAACATACACGACCAAAACATGTGGCTGGCTTTATTCATCCTATTTTGGCGCTGCAATTGCCTATATGTGTTTATCCGCTTGCCAAAACGAACTCATGCAAGTCACTTTCATGTCTGTGTCCAGTACTGTCGTACTATCTTGTAGCTGACAAAATTTCCATATGCTGATGGTACAGGGAGGAAAGATTGCCTCTTCGTGGCTACTGCTTTGGCCCGGCCGTGATGTACAGCGAAATATTTGTGGCTTGGAAGCTAGTACTAGTAGGCCCATTTGCTGTGCACGGGATGACGGGAATGGGTGGTGGCTGGTGTGCTTGGGTATCACAAGAAAAAGGATGACGAGGGGAGTTATCAGGCTCACAGGATGGAGCATGTCGTTACCCTAACTTGGATTGTCGTTACCCAAGTTTTTAACTTTCGGATTAGCGTCGTTAAGATTAAATATAAATAAAAAATAAAAATAATTACACAGTTTAGATGAAATTTATGAGACGAATCTTTTAAGCCTAATTAGACTATGATCGGACATCAATTGCTAAATAACAACGAAAACTGCTACAATGTCATTTTGCCAAAATTTTCGCAACTAAACTGGCCCTTAGTCTAGACTAGAAAAAACGACGCAGCTTTGCCGCCCCACTGCATACATGAATCAGCCCATTTCATTTGTACCAGACCAGGCAGTCAATCGGATAAGGTCATCTGGAACTGGAGTCCTCGATCTGTAGAGTTGTCATCCCCATTCTTATGGCAGGTGTTTATAAATTAAATTAAATTCTTATTGTTTATTGCTTTGGGAGATTTTGTCAAGCATAATCTCCACAAAAAATGAACAGATTGAGGGAGATCCTAGCACAGAAATTTATCGTAAAGTATAATTTTACCAAGGAAAATTAAATGTCTATAACCCAACTCCAAAGAGACACTTCAGGCAGGTTACAGGGGGACTATGTTTAAATTAGGAAGACCTATCGCCATGGAATCTGTTTATCTACCGCCTGTAACCTTCTCTCCACATAGACAGTTTTTATGAATTCCCTAAGACTGCCTGCCAATGTTGTTGCAACAATAGGTTATAGTCAGAGCATGTGTTTGATAAGTAAAAATACACACATAAAAGTGGCTGAATTACTCATTACCTGCTATCAGGTAGCCCCATTTTATGGGTATCAAAGTCCTTCAAGAATGATTCCTTGGCACGCTGCCCTTCTGGAGAGCCTCGACCTCTTGCGTGCTGAAAGTGGACACGGACACGGATTTCGCACTGTGGGTGAACTCGCGGCTACAAGTGCATGAATCAGTATGTTAGGATTCAGGAAAAGGCTCCTGCTAAACTTGCCAAGTCAAGCCTTCACCAGAAGAGAGCTTGTAGTAGAAGAGTAGCCGTATGTTACAACAAAAGTGAACTTGTGTCCAATCCAAGTAGATATTTCAGGTGGAATCTCGTATGTTTGTACTGCTTCTGAAGATTTTCAGCAGTTTTTCCAATCAACTTTGTTCCTCTGTTCTCGAAGAACATAAACTCAACTCTGTAGGTTTCATCAGTACTAAGGAATAGTATCTTGTACCTGTTAATTACAGCAAATGGTTGATCAGTGTCATTAATATCTTGTAACTAATATCAGTGTATGTGAACTTATCTCCAACCAAACTGAGTGAGGTGAACAGTCTTCTTTGTTGCATTTCTTAGTATAGGGTTTCATTCTAAACCTACATCCTACAAGCTCGATAACACCAAGTTTCATGTTATATATGTAATGCCAGAAATGGTCATCGTAAAAGTAACAATTACAGGAGCTAATCAGATTAAATTGAGAAATAGAAATTGTTATTTTTTTAGCTAACCCTTTCAGTGAAATGATCTATTGTTTGCAGCTGCAGAAGCCGTTCTTTTCTTAAAATTTTTCTGTTCATCAAATTCTCCTTGTAATCATAGCATTAACTCACCGGAGATGCCGCTAGAGCATCCACAGCAGAAACGCCAAGAATTGTAAGGAACAAGCTTGGATAAATAAATTATAGTAAATGTGTTTGTTATATATAATGATTTTATAGTTCGCATAGCAAATTGACACAGTTTATGATAAGAGATGTGACATTTTTTCAAGCAGGGTCACAATTGGCAATGAATAATTACAACCGAGCAAACACCTTAATGTCAGACAGTAACAGAGAAATGTGAACTATCCTTGGTTAAAACTTTTGCTCACATCACTAACTCACATGTTTTAGTCGAAGATTTCTATTCAATGTTAAGAAATTCTCTGGTTTATGCTGCATTAGAAAACATTTGCACACAAAATGAAAGTATAACGGCATAGCTTCAATCAATTTTCAGATACGTGTTCTAGATAAATGAATCTAATCAAATTGTGTCTCCCATTTAGGTAAAACCACACAAATTACCTTCAAGATATTATAGTTCCAAGCAGCCCACAAAACATAATTTGTATGTCAGGTAATACTAAAAAGTATCAGACAGTTTTCGCAAAAAAAAAGGTATCAGACAGTAACATTGGATTCAAACAAGCATAAAAAAGAAAATCTGAAATTTTCTTCTATCTATATCAATGGATTCAGGGTCAACTCATCAAGATGAAGAATACATTTATCAGAATTGAGTTTTGTAACAGCTGTACATTGGGCACCATCCACCATCACTTGGTGCTCAGGTAGGGGCAGATCTCTGAAAGTTGTTAGCCCAAATAGATCTCAGATTTAGATTTGGAAACTATCAGAGGACAGCTTGGCCTTGGCCGCTTGGATTGAAAGAAAATGCAATGGCTTAGTTTTTACAATGACACTCCCTTACCCTTTATAGGCAGGGGGACTCTCATTTGCTACAACATATTCTAACCACTAAAGTGGATGCTGAGCTTATTCTTAACACTAAGTTTGGAAGCCAAGGAAAGTAAAGTGCAGAAAAAGTAAGATACAAGTGCTTTAGCATGAGGCTTATCTATCAAAACTAACATGGCCACACATATACGGAAAGGCAACAGCCTCCTCCACAGCAGAGACTTGGGAGGTGGTGGCGCATCTGAACGAAGACAACAACCTCTTCAAGGGCAGTAATAGGCTCACATGGCAGGGTAGGGTCCTGACGGCAGCGTGCGAGCAAGGTCACAGAGATGGACCTCGACACGGCGCGCGTAGGAGGAGCAACCTGTTGGAGCCAGACGATGCCCTGGACAGGATCACGAACGCCGGCGGTGGTGCGGTGACCACGGCGAGAACGAACAGATGAAAAACACACACACGCGAAAGAATGGATTTTGGTGCTGCCAACTGACGCAGCCTTTCTCGGTCTTTATTGATGGCTTATATTTACATCATGCCTATGATCTCGGAGTGATAACCGAGCCCCGCGCCATGCCGCACATTGTGCGCGACACCATTGCTCAGCGGCGGCGCACCGCGTGCGCAACGTTCGCCATGTGAAAGCTCTAGTTTGGTTTTGGTGAATTGATGAAACCCTAAGTGTTAACCTAGTTTATCAAAGTGATTATGAGATAAGTAGCACTATTTCAAGTGATGAAGCAACAATGAAGATCATGATGATGGTGATGCCATGGTGATGATCAAGTGTTAGGACTTGGAAAAGAAGAAAGAGAAAAACAAAAAGCTCAAGGCAAATGTGAAATTGATAGGAGCTTTTTGGTTTAGTGATCGAGACACTTAGCAAGTGTGATCACATTTAGGATCGATAGCCGTACTATTAAGATGGGTGAAACTTGGATTGAAATGCGGTTATAAAAGTGCCACTAGATGCTCTAACTCATTATATATGCATTTAGGATCTAGTGGAGTACTAACACCCTTGAAAATATTTGTGAAAATATGCTAACACACATACACAAAGTGTTACACTTGGTAGTTGGCACATTTGATCAAGGGTGGTAAAGTTTAGGGGTCAAAAGGAAATATTTCATATTGATCGAACTCTACCTTGGGCAGTGATCGGACTCTGACCTTGCGTCCGATTAGTGGTGCACAGTGAAGGCCGCCCTCGGTCCTTTGACCGGATGCTGAGAAGAAATAGGATCGGACGCGCTTGGGGTGCGTCCGGTCAGGCTATGGCGTACGCTGATGCAAGCATCAGAACTAGCCAGTGAGGACCGGACCCTGAGCCGCGTCCGGTCACCTGTGATCGGACGCGTCCGATCATGATTTTGCCTCTCTGGAACCTTACTGGAAACGACCGGACTCCAGTGCAATGGAGCGTTCGATCACTTTAAGCAGTGCGTCCGGTTGCAACTTAACACGTGGCGCGAAGCTGACTAGCCGTTAAGATCGGGCGCTCAGCATTTGAGGTTGATGACACGTGGCGAGCATCGGGTGACCGGGCGATGGGGTCCTGCGTCTGGTCAACCTGACCGGCGCGTCCGGTCAGCCCGTGTTTCACTAGACAGAGGAGCCAACGGCTTTATTCGTGGGGGCTCTCAATTTAAGCCCCATGGCCGGCTCAAGCTCACTCTCTTGGCTATTTGCATTGACATAGCAACCTTGTGAGCTTAGCCAAAGTCCTCCCACTCATCTCTATCATTGATTCATCATTTTTGTGAGATTGGGAGAGAATTCAAGTGCATTGCTTAAGTGTTTGCATCTAGAGGCACTTGGTATTCGTGTTTTCGCTGTGGGTTTGGCTTGTTACTCTTGGTGGTTGCCGCCACCTAGATGGCTTGGAGCAGCAAGGATCATCGAGTGGAGGTTGGTGATTGTCTTCGGCTCGATCGTGGTGATTGTGAGGGGTTCTTGACCTTTCCCTGGCGGAGAGCCAAAAGGCACTCTAGTAAATTGCTCGTAGCTTGTGTGATCCTCATCTTGTGTTGGTT